CTCTGTTTGCATTTTGGTTTTATTTTTAAATATTTAAACAAAAACCAAATAACACAAAAAAAACAATAAAGATTACTACTACATTAAATATAACAACATATGTTCATATTTCGATGTTATACGATCTATTTAAGTTTGAAATAAATAAAATTGCAAACGAATGACCAATAGTAGTATAAGTCTTGATTTGTTGCCTTATAAGCGTCTTATTAGCAATATCTGGCAACGCTCAAATTGGAGCTTTCATCTTGGTGCGAAGCCATGCTAAGCAATTTAGTCCAACATTGCATATCGATTTTAAAGATGGCGACAATTTCTACAAAATAGTTTGCACTATAGGTGGCGCGCATTATTTTAACAATAGATGGCGCTACTACTCAATTTCCATGTATATCAAAACAAAACAACAAATTCAAATTTTTCTTAACAGCACACAGGAGAAACGGAAACCACTAACACCTTAATGCGTTTTTAAAACGAGCAATACCTATACTTTTAGTATCAATACAGACACCGCTTACTCATATCCATCGCAATTCGAATTCCAACCATCGCCATACACAACAATCGCAAGCATTGCATTCAGTGTAGTTGTAATTTTGAGTGAAGTAAAAAAATGGACAAGGCTTAGCCCCATCAGCCCCATCAAATGAAGAACAAATGAGATGGACCGCAACCTCCCATTCAACCATCGGCAAACCACATCAATCAATCAACACCACCACTACCACCACGGTGGAACTTGCTAGATTTAATTAAAAATTACATTCTTTCTACTTGAACATTGTTCAATTATTAAATACATGGCCGCATTCTTTAGATGTGTTTCATTTGGCAAATGAATTAATATTATAAGCTGCATTGGCATACTCGTAAATGCTTTCACACCAATATGTATGTAAATACGAGTATAAATAAATCCATCCCTCTTGAAACAAACTCAGAGGTAACTGACTAATGATACCCTATTGCTTACCCGATGGCTTACCAAAACAAGAACAAGAAAAAGGAAATGCACACTTACCTTGTCTTCGCCTCAAATTTGTAATAAAGCCAAAGAAGCGATACGTTGTTGTAAACAACAGGCAACACACATACACGCCCCTAAGCTGCTAATGATGAACAGACGCACAATGGGATCCTTCACAAAGGGCGCATGCTGCGTTAAGGATCATTTGAGAGACTGTGGCAAACAGAAGCAACTTTGTACGTACATATCAACATATACGTGTGTATATAAATGCATATATACATATGTATATTTGCAACCGATCGCATTGAAGAGAAGCATATGACAGAAACACCACGACACCGAAACTCATATGCACGGTAAGCGTCTGTTTGTGTTTTTGTGGCTTCCGCGCAGCCGCAGAATTGCCGCTGCTCATTTAACAATTTAACAATACCGAGCTGATGCGCTGGACTACTCACTCGGCTTGTAAAACATTGATAATCCCGCTCAAAATTTTGTAAAATACTGTGCCAAAAAATTCAATGCAAACTGCGACATAAGCGGATTTTCGGCCCAACCTCTTGTTGTTCAGCTCGAGGAGAGCATAGCCGGCCCGCCGGCTGGTTCTGGTTTTCTGATTGTTCGGTTGTTTGGTTGTCTGGTTAGGTTGTCTGCTTTTCATCTCCCGCAGCGAACATTATCTGATGTGCCGTACTGCTAAACAAGAGACAATCTTATCGAAAACTACCAACTAACAATTGTTTGTCCCTCTCTCTCTTTCTCTCTCTGTTTCCTCACATTCTCTCTTTCTCGGAGCAAGGCATTTGTTTAATGTGTGAAAATTTACGCCGAGCGGAAGGCGCCTGCTGCGAAGCATCGTTCATTGGCTTAATCAGCAAATGCGGTTAAGTGCTTGAGCCGATTTTGAAGCATCTATAGTATAGGGCAGTGTAATTAACTCATTTTAGAAGGTATTAAAGAAGAAGCCCAAAAATTCTTCCTGTATCCCATTCGTGAAAATTGAAAACTGTGTCGCATTTCATTTTCCCAAGCAGCCTTCTGTTTGTAAGCTCTGCGGTTCATCATCGACACCCACAGGCTGACTGAGCCGCCTGTGTGTCTTTTTGGCATTTGCATTCCACACTGGCGACAGACGATGACACCTGGCCCTGTAGGCTGCATTTTGTCGCTGCCACTTTTTTCGCTTTCAATCAAATTCGCGTCAGTTTAACGATGTTCTCAACGGAAACGGAAATTCATTTCGTATGTTTGAGCACGAGCGACAATTTGTTTGCTCCGTTGCATTTAAGTGTCGGGTGGCACACCAAGGACAGCACGAGGACTCAGCCCAAGCGCAACCTAAAAAACATTCCCAAAAAGAAGTGTACGCCTTTAGTTCTCTGCTACTCTTCTACTAAACACAATTCAAAACTTTTAAAACCCATCTTTAAGCTACAAATTAAAGGTGCTCTACCAACTTTGGCAAAATCTTAACTCTCATGCATATATGTTTCCTTTATTAAGGCATAATGAATACGAGTTTTTAAAAGAATAATAATATGAATAATAATATGAAATACAAAATCAATATATCTCTTTAAATTATATTTGTATTCAGTCTTAGACTTAGAACAGAAACCCTTTTTTAATATTTTTAATAGCCAAAGTTCCCTAAAGGTGAGAAAATATCCACATAATAATATAAAAAGTATTTGCCTTCATCGGCCTAGGATTTGAACAGAATCATTGTATAAAAACAATAAAATATGAGCACATTGCCATTAATTTGTATTTCATCTTCATTTTTCCAAAAGTTTAATGGTACTTTACTCGTGTACAAATAAATTTCTTAGGGCAAAAAAAAACTTTAAATTTATTATTATTTATTATAAATTTATTATAAATGACGGATTTGTTCAAAGAATAATCAGAAACTTAACTGGGTGTTTTTTACTAAGAATTGGAATTATATTACTGATACTTATTCAAGCGTACAGTGGTTGCAACTGAATCTATCAGAATCTATCTATTGAATCTTATCAGAAACTTGCTAGCTTAAAGCCATGTTAAGCACTACCTTGATTTCTTTTGCAAATTGCATTTAAATACAGGAAGGGTACAAAAACAGCGTGCTGATCTAGCTAATTTCAATTAAATATATAACTAAGTAAGTTTGCAAGTGTAAATAGGTGCAGGCTTATTGCGGCTACTTCTTTCAAGCTCCAGCTCTGGCTTTCTATCAAAGCGTCGGAAAATGCAGTGATCATCATTGTATTGTTGAGGAATTGCTGGTGATTTGGCTTGGCTTGCGACACCAGCAACATAAAACTCACAACATACTCCCCACCTTTTCCCAGCTGGTCAAGGTCTCACTACCAGTGTCATTCCTAACGGACTTGGCATTATTATTGGACTGGCAAAATGCTTTACTAAAAATGGTCTGATGCTGTCTGCCACTCTGGGGTATTTCTATTGACTTATCAATTAATTGTAAACATACATGCTTCGAGCCACGATCAAAACAATCGCCTGCGGGCAGCCATTGCACAAAATTATGTCTGTCCTGGGCACCCCCTCACTGTGGGCTTTATATAATGGTGTTAATGCCCGCTTCAGCCGCCACATGCTTACCCAGCAATTTGCGTGCACGTTGCAAACAACCAACAAAACGCCTTTGGCAACAGCAGCGAGCTTCGCAACAGAGTTAACAGAGATATTTTGTAACATTTGTCACAAGGCGACGCCCCGTTTGGGAAAATTAAAAAAAAAAAAAAAGTAATAATAATCAGGGGCACCAAATCAAAGCAGAATTTGATGAATTCCATAATTGAATCACAAACAGCGCAGCAACCTGACCTGACCTGATATGACATGACCAGGGCCAGAACTAAAGATGGAAAGGTAAGAGCAAAACTCTAGGCTCACGCAGATCGCGAAAAGCGAGCCAACCATGGAAATGGCTCACTCAGGAAATGAAGAACTCGTTTTTAAAAGTCCAATGCGTAAAAGGGTGAGTTTTGCAAAACCAATCATTTTTCGAGGTCTTAGAAAACTATTCCAAACCTTTCCTTGTCCTTTTAGAAGCTGAGGTTTGAGTAGAATATACAAGTATACAATTTAATAGACTAAGTATATAGACTCTGTTATTTGAAAATATAGTTATTTTGTGTATCTCAGAAATCCACAAACTTACATTCCCACAAATTCCAATTCATTTTAGATTGACGATGAGGTATTCCTAACAATTTGTTTAAGCACAATTTTTGTATTTTTTGGTATTTTTGAGATCGACCGGTTTGTAGCTGCGTTGGCTTTCGAGACTATATTGTATTATTTTTGAAAACTATTAGCATTTTTTACACTTATTGCATTTCGATTGTGCTCACGAGAGTGACTCACGCACGCCTGAAGCATCCATCGTTGGCAACCCTCGAGCTATGCGTACACATTTAAACGCAGCACGCAATTTGTCACATCACCGAATTTTGAGGCGTTGCAACATGGAGTGGGCGTGGACTGGTCTTTTGATTACTTTTCATAACTTTATGCTAATCAGTGATGCAACTGCGGCGGCCAGTTTCGGGTTACGTGCCAGCAACGCCCTGCAAGATATGCCTACATTTTTGTACCAGACTCGAGAGGAACTACAAGTATTCATATCGACGGAGCATTTGCTGGCATTTTTGTAGAGAGGAGAGGTCAGGCGAGGTGGCAAAAAGAGTAAATAAGACGCGCTCATAATAATTTCCGCTGGAATGCTCATTTTGTACACAAAACTAATTAATATCCTTCATTATGAGCGCTGAAATTGTTGCGCTAAAGTGCAACAGGATATTTGTGCAAGTAATTTCCGCCGCTGAAGAGTTTTTAGCAGCGTAAAATTAATTTATGCAAAACACACAACACTGCCGAAATGCAAATAAATTGCAAATTGTTTTTCAAAATAATTAACTTTTCGTTGCGTTTAATTAGAAATTGTTGATGCTCGGGCATGGGCCGGGCAGGCGTTGAATTTGTTGTTCGAGACACACAAAATTCGGTCAGCAGTTTGGTTCAGTTCGGATCAGAAAAGTTAATTTAGTCGGTGGCTATATTCAGTCAGAACGAACGAATGGAATGGAATGCAGTGCCTGTGTGTTCTTGATGAAACCATTTTGCTGGTTCTCGGACCTCTACTGCGCCATCAGGGAGAGTGAGCTCTTCCTGGTCTTGCTAGCCGGAATACTCGCCCTGCTGCTCATCATCAATTTCAGCGCTGGCTACGCCATTTGCCAGAATCAGGGCTCTATGCAAATGGAGCGAGCTGTGCGGACGTATGACGTGAGTAACAGCCACACCTCCAACTACGATTACGGTCCCACACATGGACCACACACCTGGCAGACGGAGCCAAACAATCAGAGTCCCATCAACATAGATCCGCGATGCGTCGAGCGGGTCGTTTTCAGTACGCCATTGGTATGGTGCCATTATGATGATCTGCCCTTGGGCATTCGTCTGGAAAACAATGGACGCACTCTGCTGCTGCGTGCCGCCTTCGATTCGCCGACGCCCAACATCTCTGGCGGCGACCTACTCAGCCGCTTTGAGTTCCGAGAGATCTCGTTCCGCTGGAGCTGGCGCAACACGGGGGGCTCCGAGCACGCCATCGATTATGCCCACTACCCTCTGGAGATGCAATGCATGCATGTGAACTACTCGAGCGACAGCTCCAGCACCTCCAGTCGCGGCATCCTGATGATCTCCTATTTCTTCGAGGTGTCTGAAGAGAATCCCTATTTAGATACGCTCGTCCAGCATTTGGTGATGGTTCAGCGAGCAGGTCAGTGTGCGGAAGTTCCGCCCTTTGCCCTGCGCTATTTGATGCATGCTTTCTACACGCGCTTCTACAGCTACCATGGCTCACTGACGGAGCCACCCTGCCATCGAGGTGTCGAGTGGTTCATCTACCCAATGCCCATAGCCATTGGTGCCCGGCAGCTCAATGAGTTCCGCCAGTTGCGGGACCATAATGGAGCTCGCATTGGTCCCAATGCTCGACCTGTTCAGCCACTCTGCGATCGCACCGTGAAATATAATACATTTGGAGTTAGATCCCGCCGCTAACCAAAAGTTAAACCACGATCTATATATGAAGCTTAACTCAATAAAACAAGTAGCTTTTTAATATAAAAGCTATAATGTAATGTGAAATAAAGTTGTGTTGCTTGTGTTTCGAATACAGCTTGTGTTTTAGTTCTAATTATTCAGAGTAGTTCTGATTATACATACATATCCGAAACCTTTACTTGACTTGATGGTATTTTTTGTTTTAGAATCAGTAACTAAATTATTAAAAGCAATTAGAAGTTTAGTGTAGATTTTCAATTCTGGTGTATGTTATAAAATTGAACTAACAGCTCTAGAACTCATATTTAGCCTGCAGGTGCTAGTTACTCTACAATAAATTGCAATGAGGGTTTAACTGTAAGATACAATCATTTAAATATTATATTATCTTATCTACGGGCGATCATTTGTGCTTTTCCGCTCATTTTATGGGCTCTGTGAAATTGTCTGGTTATGTGAAATAGGTCCGGACTTCGTAATACGCTTTAAACTTTTTATTTTGGTTGCATACAAGTTTCCCGGATCGATCAATACCAACCATGCACGACTCAAGAAATTGTATAATTCGGCTACCGGGTTGTGTCAGAATATATACATGTATATATAATTAAAAAAAAAAAAGTTTTAACTTAAATACACTGGTTAGGCAATTACGAGAAGCGACTCGGCAGTCACCCCAACGCACTAGCGAGGCGGCTCCTGTCCAAACCTAAGAAGAGAACACTGAAGAAGTGCCATCCAAAGGATCTCCCCACAAGATTCCTTGTATAAAATGTAATGTCATTTTTCATGTAAAACATTGTAAATATTGTATATACATAGATGTAAGAGCGTCCTATAGATGCTTACTATAGACAATTTTTGTATTCCCTAACTTTCAACTAGCTTATTGTTAGTAGAAAACTAGTTTAATAAATTATATATACATTTTTTACAAAAAAAAAAAAAAAAAAAAAAAAAAAAAAAAAAAAAATACACTGGCTTATAAAAATATATTGCCTACTCTGAGGCTAATTGAACTCATATTGCTGTGAATTTTCCACACAATTTGATCGAATTGTCGTTGGCAACTAGTTTGTGTATAATAATCCACTAATTAGTCGTTCAGGGCGCATTAACCAAATGTCCTGTCCTAGAACTGCGCCACAGGATGCTGAACTGCGCAAGCACTGTGTGCAGATGTGTGTATGTGTGTGTGTGGCCACTCATCTGTGTATTTGCGTTTGTCTGAGTCTATAATTTCGTTAGTGCAATGGAAACTGTTGCGGACATGTCGATGTTAATGTACATGTCGATGTCGATGTCGATATGAACATGGATGTGGATGTGAATGTGGATGTGGCCGTGTTTGCTGAATCTGAATCTGATGCTGATGTTTTTGTTGTTGTTGTTGTTGTTGTTGTTGTTTCCTCCGCTGTTTACCACCCGCTGCGTAACAGTCGCACCCTCTATCCTCTGCTACAGCTGTCACCCTCCACCACCCCGGTGCCGAGTTTCAGCCTACAATTATCGCATTGCTGCAAGCTATAGCCATCCTCCATACGAGGACGAGTATGTGGGCTCCTAATATGCCCTTAAAATGGCTTGTCTGTCTCCTTCTCGTAATTAGTTTTTCATTATGTGCCCAACATGTTGAAGTTGAAATTTTCAGGGCAATATTAAATTGCATGTGCTTTGGCTTTGCCGCATCTTTTGCAAGGCTTTAGTAAACCTGATTAACACACATGCGAGACATCTAATCAAACACACACACACACACACACACACACTGGCACCCACAAAACGAGCAACAACAACGACAACTGTATAATTTATTTGCTGAAAATCAACGCTAATGAAATTATACAAACTAGTTTCAATTTGGCAACGAATGCCGATGGATAAATTGTCGTTGTTGTTGTTGTTGTTGTTGTTGCTGATGCTGTTTCTGTCAATTGTCAATATTTGGAGTGGCAAGCACGCACTTTCTGTATATTGTTAGCACAATTTACGTGTTTTGAAAACTTAATTGAATTTCAATTTAATATATTTGGTGATGCTCTTGGCTCCCCGAATTTCATCCCGCGTTTGCGTTTGCCTATTTGTCTGAATTTTGATCAATTTTTATTGCTAAATGTATGCACAAAAGTGTTCACTCATTCGCTCATTAATTGCGATAATATAATGCACCAGTGCTTTGATAAATTGTAGAATATAGAAAATTACCGAAATTCAATTAAAATAGATACATAATTGTATTTATTAATGCAGATGCATAAAATGATATGCAAATGTTTGTGCACAAGAACAAACATTTATTTGCAATTAGTACGAAAATGTTTTTTGGAAAATTAATGCGAATATCGAAATGCATAATTTAGGTGTTGTCTGTTCAACAAAATAAAAATGTTAATTTATGGCCGCTTTTAATAAAACATTGCAATCTAAAAATAGTGAGCAACGATTTTAACATTATTATACGTTTAAAAGACCGACGAAAATTTATAAAAAATTAAGAACAATTAATTAAAGTTGGATTTATGAAATGATTTATGGATTTAATAATGTACTCTGTTCCATTTCTAGATCAATGGTTCTTATAAGTATATTTAGAAAGTAACGCATGATTGTAGCGTATGAATACTATTTAAGCGAGTAGAACGTTGAAATCGTTCCAGCCTTACTTATTTATTCACATTTCTTAAAAACATTATGAATTAACAAGTGAGGCAAAGATATATTTATGTTAAGAGTATAGGCAGCTTAGCCTTTTCTACTTAATTAAACAAAATGGAGAAATAAAAATGGTTAACAGTAATCGACAGTGTAAACTAGGAAAAATTATACAAAAAAACCCATAAAGCTTACAAACAAAATAGAAAACTTATAAATACGAGATTTTCTTGAGATATCTGTATAAGCACAGAGTTGTTGGTACCAAGCTTTCTCCGATCGTTTCCATGTCAGTTATATAATTTAGTGCACCAAATTTAATGCTCATAAAAAAGTTATTATGTTAAGAATAATTTGTGCACCAATCGGTTCTATGGCAGCTATAATAACGAGACAAGAAACTTCTATGCGCATCTATAAGTTCATAAGCTGCAAAGTCAAAAACTTACATTTAGATATATAATATAATATATCAGATCATCCTGCAAACGACTGTGGTGGAGAGGATCTTTATACGAAAGCGAAATAAGCTTCACGTTATCGACATACATAAGTATGATCAAAAAAGGACCAAGATGACGTTACGAGTACCGATTTGAACATTTTTATCAAAGTTAAAATGTGGAAATCGATTTCTAAACATTGAATTAGCTGAAATGTATGCCTAAATAAGGCACTAAAAAATTTATAAAAGTAAGTCTTTGGTAATTTATTTGGAATTATTCATAGATGTACTGAAACGTTTACATTTACAGACTTTTGACCATAACATATTTAAACGAATTTAAATCTGTAGTCAAAAGAAAACGTTTACTGATTGTAGAATTGTAGCTTCCCCTTTAACTTATTTGCATAGCGTCAAGTTAAATAATTGAGCAATACATTGACTTTCAACGAACACTAGCTGCTATTTCTTAGATTCCGGTTTTGGTGCAAGGAAAACAAATAGATTAACAAGTTTAATTGAAAGTAATTAGAAAAACGCTTGAGCTGCCAAATCTTGTGTGACAGCAGTTGCAGAGATACAAATATACGTACACTCGAGTACATGTGCGTGTATTCGCTTTTCATGGCAAGGACTGGAGAGGCAGTAGCAGTTGGGCTTGCTTCCACAGTTTCCAACTGAAGTTGAGATGAAGGGACGATGGAAGGGCAGAACCGCAAAATAAGCTACGTAGTTGCTGGCGGAAAACGGCATGAAAATGAAATTAGACGAATAGAATGACGATGTAAGTGCCATGAAAAGACGTTAAGACGTTCTAGACGTTCCAGAACCGGGCAGAATGCCGTCTAAGAAAAGAGCAAGAGCATGAAGATAATGAAGACGGCAACGATGGAGTTTTGACGTTCAGGGTAAATGTGTGTGTGTGCGAGTGTGTTTATAGACGTTGCGAAAATTGAGGAAAATTGCATTTAAGTGTTGCCGTTTTCATTTAGCCGCATGAATATGTATGGCAATGTCGAGGCCCGGAACTAAAGCTGCTTTTGTGGCAAGAAAATTGAATGAATAATTGAGAAAACGAGCGCGTGATGGCATTAGTATGTGCTTTTGTGTATGTTTATCTGTGTGTGTGTACGTGTATATATGTGTATGTGTTTGTAATTGTACGAGTATGTATGCTGAAAATTTGCAGCTAATGAAAATTAATTGCTTTTATTGAGGCTCACAGAAGCAGCCGCAGTTGGCATCAAAAATCCCAGTGCGATGTTAATTGTTAATCATTGAATATTGTTCTAGAAGAAAAATCAATATGGCAGCTACCGATTAATCAACGCCATTTTGTAATTATCTGCACATTTTTAATTCAATTAACTTTGCGCAAAAGCGCATGTAGTGCAGTATTTTTTGTATTTCAACTGTTTGATGTGTCTGTCAATTAAACCATAAATGCAAACCAATAACTTTAATTAAACATTTTTATTGGAACAGTAACCGCAAAAAAATCATCAACGTTTTTGCAAACTAAGCTAAAAACATATGTAGAGACTTTAAAATACTCTGATTTTACTTAACAATACCTATCCATATAGAGAAATAAATATAATAATAAAATTTAGCATTGATGGTAGGTTAAATTTTCCACAATTTTTTGACCAACGTACGTTGTTTCAATCCTTCAAAAACTACATGAGGGGCTTACAATTCGCAATACCGCAAAGACTTACAATAATTTATTAGCTCCTTGCTTTTCGAAGCAACAACTGCTCTGTTCAAGAATTTGGAGCCCGATAAGAGTGATGTTACAAACAAAAACGGGACCAAGTAACCCAGTCACGTTTTATGAAATTCAAAGTGGCCTAAATTAAATTTCTTTTCCCACTACCAACATGTCAATATAGTTATTGTCAGTTGGCATCGGGTCTGCCATAGTTCTAGTCCTTAAATTATTTCGGAAAAGCACGCTACTATCTCGGGAGGTAGATGACCAAGGGGAACAATAAACAGACCTTGTGAGCTGTGCCATGAATTTCATTTAGCCATCACTCCTTTTCGTATAGGGTAGAAAAACTGTGCGCATAGCTCGCTGCTTTCATTTGCCTCCGCCTCCTCAGTTCCGCTCAGTAAACTTCCTTTTTCAATTAAACGCCACCATTTTCCATTAACGAATTTGCATGTGTCAGAGTGTGTGAGTTTGTGGCTCTCCGTGTGTGTTCTGCCAGCAGCAGCGGCAGCGGCAGGAGCCGTGCTTTTTCAATCATACACACACAACACCACACACACACACACCGACTCACATACACTCATGCGCACGTCTGTATTTCTATAATAAAATTAAATTAGAAGACCAGAAAATTAAATCATCAAAGCTTGACGTCTAGCGGCTGCTGCTTTCCTTGTTTCTCTCCATCCTTTTCTGTCTGTGCGCTCGTTCTCCCCATGGGGATACACATACATATGTACATACATATACATATGTGTGTGTGGATATATATTCATGAAATGGCGTGACCCAGCACACACACCTACGCTCAATTTTAACCGCTTCTCACACATACTCCACATGTTCCCCAATTTCCAAAGCGACAGTTACGAGTTCATTAATTTTTCTTCTATTATTTTTTTTGTGCCCACAGCACCGTGCCGCCCACTCTGACACACACACACACGCATACACATATACATACCCAACAGCCCTTTTTATTTTTCAGTCAGTCTGTTCGATTTTGCTGCTTGCCTAACACGGTCAGCTTCACTTATGTGCTGCGGTTTGCCGCGCCATTGGAAACAAGCAACAGCTCCATATATGAGCCAGAATCGTGTTTGCGACCCCCCGAACCCCATCCTACTTGTATGTTCCATACCCCATATGCAGCCCACGCCCCTCAACTATTTCCATGGTGTGAGCAGCATCATAAATTAAATTCTTCATCAACTCAAACTCGAGCGCCAATAAAGTGACAGAGAGTTATTTTCATCACTTTTTCAATGGTCTACCACATGGCAGGCGTCCGTGTTTGTTTGCTTGTGTGTGTGTGTTTGCTGCGTACGTGTATGTGAGTGTGTTTTTAATCCGCTTACTGCGCTGACTCGCTCACTGAATGCACTCTCTTTGCCGGCTCAGACACTCTCTCGCGGCACTTCTTTAACTCGTTTAGGCCACACCCCCTGGCATCACTGATGGAGTGAGCTCTCTCAGTTGCTGTGCAGAGTCAGAAGCAGCTGTAGCCGTGTGACCATAAAACTAGTTATATTCAATGTGCCCCTGCTTAGACATTTACGCGTGCGTAGTGAATTTCGATTTGATGCCAGCGATAACCTGCATCCATAGTACATGTGTAGAATGCTCGGATATATTAGTGTTAAGTGCTTAGACTTTGCAAAAGATAGTCCTGATTCGCAAACAACAATTCACACAACTCACACAAAATTAACCGCCTTATTAATTTTATCTGCAATGGCGGCCACCTATATGAAAAACACAGGTCGTATGTGTTATTACATTTGCATACACACACACACACACCTACAAGAACGACGATATCAGACACAGCAATTGCTTCAGCTACAGCCACAACAACAACGTCAAGTAAAAACCTGAATAAATTGCTACCCCGTTAACAATTTAACGATAAAAGCAAACTAATTAAAGTACGAAGAGGAGAAATTGCCACATAATAAAGCAAATTAAAAGCAAATTAATTTAAAACAAAAAGTAAACTCTGTGGGCTGAGCACATAAATGAAGCTGAGATGCGACATCATTTCACACCACCCTACACTCACACACACACACACACACACACACAAGCACATTCGCAGCCGTGACAGCGAAAGCAACAGCTCCACTTCAATTAAGCGGCGCTCCGACATGGCCATGACAGTCTCTCGTAAATGCTCAACACACAGCACCCACACAAACATACTCACTCACAGAAACACACACACACACACACTAACACACAGGCAAGCGCACATTAGCGTTCATTTGTGCGCGTAATGACGTTTGGCAAGCTCGTTATGCGTAAGAATAAACTCGTATTAAGAGCTCATTAGTTGGCACAAATCGAATAGCTGGCATGGGCCAGGAGGAGCGATGGCTAGGTAGCGAGTAGAGGTGGCCATGGATCCGATATGATGCACGAAAGGCTCAACATACGTACTAAAAAGTACTCTTCGTCTGCGCCGAAGCTGCTTATACTTCACTATAGACTGTTTCTTATTTCGCATTAGAAAGCATTTTAGATTTAATAATAATCATTATTCATTATTCTCACCATTCAATTCCCATATCTTTACAAATAAACAAGTTTTTCAAACAACTATCTCTAAATCATAACGTTTGCGTGGCAGCTAGTATATAGTATAGTGATCTCGTCATTTTATATGTGCCCTTCAAATAAAAACTATGAAACTCTATGAAAAGTTTATTCATATTTAAAACTGTGGGAGTAGTAGTGCTTGAAATAGATAGACCGGCAGATATATATATAAATGTGGTTATCAACATACACACTAAATAGAAAAGGTATAGCTAATTCATTTCGTAATGTTTTCATTACATTAATCAATCAAAAGAATATCAAAACACATTTAAGCTCTCGTATGATGTTAAAAATATTTCAAATATATTTAACTCATTTTTCAGAAAATAAAACTTTTTTATAAAATTTGGGATCTGACCTCTAAACTATTTTTACAAGAATAATATTGTAAGACAAGATTTATTTTGTACAGCTTCATATGCTAAGTTCATTAAAGGTATATCATGTTTTTAAACACCTATCGATCTTTCTGTTTCTTGCCAACTAGTCTCACAGTTTAAAGCTAAAAGGCATAACTAGGTTGAGTGAAAATAACGTAGCATTTTGCATTTTCGTCACATATATAGATTATGCGTGTTTAATTTACAATATATTCGGAATTTTATATATTTCAGAATATCAAGAAAAATCACGACTAACGTACTTCTCTACTTAGTAGAGGCGTCTGCCACAAGGTTTCATTTCACATGTAATGGAGGATAGCGCAAAGGAGTAAATGACTTTAATGAAAATTTGCAGCTCACGACAACAGGCATCGACATTGATGCCTGGTTAAACTTAATGCCAAATTGGATTATTGGATGTTTTCTTCTCTTTTTTTTTCAAGTAAGTTCAAATCTAGTCTGTTGGCTCTACTTAAGATGAAATGCTTCCAAGCCTAGCCTCATTGAACATTCCAAAATACCCAAGCAAATCGGATGGTTGTGTGTGTGCCAACAAAGTGCCACAAACTTGCCACAAACCATTTTCAATTGCCGACTAACAAGCGTCTGTCTTAACTTGCTCTTTGCTCTCACTTTCCTTGTTAAGTTTGTTGCATCCTTTTAACTTTATTTCCTCTCGCACAGAGACTAAGTGCTGCCGTCACCGACGCCATCTTTGTCCATTTGTCGCTTGCGCAATCAGTTGCAAATTTGTAACAATAGCAGGATATTAACAAAATCCACTTATGTATCCGTTTTGCTTTATTTTCACTTAAATTCTGCAACTGCTCGGCTCGGAGAGCACAAACGAGCTTGCACTCAGCTAGGGGTATGGGCGATGCTTCGATGGTAGCAGAAATTTTATTAGCAAAATGGTCTCGAATATTATTTTGAAAGAATGCTTCAGATTTATATAAGAAGATATCATATATGTAGAGAGCTCCTCTCATGCTCTTAATCAGCTCAACTCACTTTTTTAGCTTATGTCTCCAATGCTTGGCTACAACTAACGACCACTCCTCGAGAATTTATTTTATTAGTTTTGTGTCGCAAAAATTGCATCTGACAAACAATTTGTTTTACATACCAAGCCGCAGAAGCAAAAGGGAAGCGAGGTATGGAGAAACCGTCATCCAACTGGCAAGCAAGTAACCCAAGAGGAAAAAAGAAACACCAACAGCCCATTGTCTGCCATGACAATGGATGTGAGTGTATTCGACACTTTAATGCGAGAGTGCTTCACACATTGCGCAACAATGGGCCAAAGTTATAGCACGCGTGCAGGGCGCTCAGATGGCAAATGGATGGGCAGGACTGACAAAGGAAGGGACCGATGGATGGACGGACTGTATGCCCGCCAGCCCGCAGGCAACTTGTGTGCCTATCCCTGTAAGCCATGCGCAGTCTCTCTCTCTCGCTCGCTCTCCCCTTCTCTCTTAACACTAAAAGGATGCCAGTTGTGAGCACAAGCTCCGCCCCTGTACACACTCACCACCGCGCATAGAACCGGTTTCCAATTTGAATTTGATTTCACTTCTAGATTTTGAGCGCTGGGCTGAAAGTCGCTGTCGAGTTTGGCGGCTTGTTTATTGCCAACGTTGCGTTGGTACGGTGCGTTACGGTTTCGCTTGAATGCACGAAAGAATAGAAACATAATCAGCAGTTTTTCAAATTTGGTGTGAAAGAATTTTCGACAGTTTGTGCGTAAACGTAATATACTCGTATTTCAATGTTGATAATACCATTATAGTGGTATGGAAAAATATAACATTGCCAATTTCTATGTGAAAATAAAAACACAAAAATTTGCTTAACAAGAATATCTTAAAGTTTGTATAACCGGCATCATTGGCACCAAAGAATCCCTTAAATAATCTTCTTCCATAATGGCTGACATTTGAAAAACAGTAACAGGAAAACCATTTGCAAGCACCAACTGTATCAAAATTTGTCTGTTGGTGTGTGTGTGTATGTGTGTTTTAGCTGTGCTTGCAGGAAAGTTTCATAAGTCCACCAACCAAACACAGTATAACAAGCTACAACAACCATATAATACCACTAACATGGATATTAAAAGCACAACACTTAGTGCAGAAACCGGATCATCACCTTGCACTCCCGCTACGGTGGACTCACCAACCTCTCCGACTCCCTTAACTGGCAGCCTCTCGTGTCTGGACATGCAACACAAGCCGCAGACATTCCAGCACATCTTCGAGAAGCTAGTGTCCAATAGCGGCGGTCACCATAAAATGCCGCCCAAGCAACTCGAACACCTGCGTCATCTGCTGGGCAATGTGCGCGATGCCAAGAACTTGCAGCTGATTGTGGAGAAGTTCAAGAACCTGGAGCAATTTCAGGAGCACTATGCTAATCTGGGCAACAACAATACTGTGATCACCGAAGGTAAGTTGCGGCGGCAAACTCAATAAAAATAGTAGCCAGTTTCTTCTTGCAGTTTAGATAATTTTTGCAATTATTCAAAACAAACAAGATTCACCATAATGAATTAATACTGCATGTATGTATGTATGTATAAGAAAAATGCAAATCACTCAATATTTTGTTGCTTGGCAAGCGCACGCAATTAGTTCCCGGAAAGCGCAAAACTAAACTGATTTAATTAGCACAAATTGCAAGGAAACATGCATTGACAAGCGCTCAAATGCAGCAACAACTACAACAGCAGAAACATCAGAAACATAATAATGTTGGGCATTGCCCGCACAGCAGGTTGTCGGAAGGCCGGCCAAATAATGCAACAGCCTGCGTGTTCACAGAAATTTTTGAGGGCCAGCTTGCTGGCCATTAGCATGCACCTGTACATGCACAGGTACATGTATCAGGCAGTGGAAATTATTTGCAAATTAAAAGCTAATTGCTAAAGCACGCAGCCAACGAACAGGCTAAAAAAAACGTCGCAGCCAGCAATTAAAAAGTATTTTCCTAATTCGCACAAGTTTGTTGTTTTTGTTGTTCTTGTTTTTTTATTCATTGCTGTGTACATGCCCCATGTTTGTTTTAATTTAGTTAAAAATGCATAAAACATTTAGCAACAACAACATCCACAACAACCATTTGGGTCAATCAAAAACGTGCAGTTAACAATTTAGCATAAAAGCTTTTAAAACATGTTGCATACTTTTCAGAGTCGCCGACTTCCCTATTCTGCATGTGTGTCATGATAACTGCTCGTTACGGCCTTGTCCGTGCATTTTTACTTTAGCCAAATGGCCCAATGTGTCGCTTAAATGCAATTACAGCTTTTAGCTCGTTAAAACGGTAAATAACGTTGTGACAAGGACTGGCAGGGGGCTGGCAGAATTTCCACTGCACTACATTTTAATACCTTTGCAATTGCTGACAAATTTGCATAGTTTCCGTGCGCCTAATTGACTTTCCATGCGCTTATGGCCAAACTGTTGGTAAACAGCCTTTTAATTTGAACGTAGCAGTAATTGTCGTAAAAAATCCATTTAATCAGTTGACGACCATGACATATTCTTACACATACATACATACATACATACATACATACAAGCACAAAGATACATACATACATATGTCCCCATTGCGAACACAAAGAGTGCCATAATCAATATTCTTAATTGGAGTGATGGAATGAAAATAAAGTCGTTTTTAGTTCCTATATTACATATAATATACATACACTAAGCATCAAAAGCAAATCCTGCGATACTGAAGCTGTCTCAGTGTTTTCATATAAGCGTTCATTACTTTTTGCAGACACTGAGCTAGCGCTCAAAGACAATGCCCGCAAATATGGTGCTGGTGGACAAACCCTAACGCCCCGTCACACAATCGATGCCATTCTGGGCCTAAAAAATCGCACCGAGGGTAGCGATGGTAAGTGGCAAAATAATACACTAAATTCCTAGTATTAACAATCATGAGAGCCACAATAAATCAAGCTGCTAACTTGTGTGATTATTTATGCATTAGAGCTCAGGTTAATTGCCAAATGGCCAATTGTGTCACAAATTACAGCTGTCAACAACAAAAGGCTGCAATTTGCTTTCTCATACATAGCTCTATACGTCCAAGTAATCATAATCGCATGAGCTTCATTCGCCCTCTCGCTGAGCTGATAGCTGATAAGCAAAATGCAATTTGTAAGCTGGCGGCCATCGATTTCAATTACGGAGCAGCCGACCTGAGGAGTTTCATGTCCTCCCACTTCCCAAAAAAAAGAATTACAATCAACCAACACAATCGCAAAATTACATTAGCATTTATTTTCTTCGTTACCATTTGACGTACATAGCTGCAAGAAGTAGCTGTTGTAATGGGCTGGCAATCGTAGACGTTTGCACTCTTACGTATCGAGATGCACGACAGCTGATAAGCAATCAGTCAGCGGTAATCGTTTACATGGCCCGAAAGGATTAGAAGTGCCGCATACGTTGTGCGACCATTTCGCGCAGTTTTCGGGGGCGTTTTTATGGCAGTTCTTGTTCTGTTTCTGTTTTCGTCGTGTTTTCTTAGTAATTTAAACTTTTATTAGATTGCCCCCACATGGGCCGCATTCGTTAGCTGTGAAGGCTTTTTAACTGGATTATAGTTGGATTTATGAGCTGTTCCAATCGGCGATGGCGCCAAAGGCAACATTTTACCACAAGGGCGGAAATGGGGAAATGGAAATGGTGCTGAGCACGTCATATTTAATTCATTTCATTTTTGTTTTGATTGCTGGCAAGCGATTGTCATTCGCCTTCAAATGTTGAGCTGAGAAAAATGGGTGTTTTTTTAGCAAAGTGTGCAAATCTGCAAATATGTAGATAAAAGACGCGAAATATACAAGTATCAATGAACTCTAATATTATGCAAGCATTTTTTACACTCGCAAGACAATTCAATTATACATATGTAGGTGTTTCGCTTCAATTAAAAATATAATGCTGATATGCGTAGCAAGCTATATGACAGCAAAACCACAGCACATGCGTTATTTAGGGAAGCAGAGAAAATGGCGCTTTGCAAAAAAAGCAACAACATTAGGCTAAAATATAACTTGCATTCAAGTTAATGGCCAGAATTTAATTAAACGCAAGCAAATAAACCGGTAACTGGCAAGATGCAGAAGGGAGTGGTGGTGCGGCGGGGAATGGCGAAGGAGGGGAAGAAAGACATATACAAACCAGTTGCCATTTAAGCCATAATTAAACTGCTGCTAGACACAGGCTGTCAAAAAGCATTTAAAATGACAGCCTGCGGCGCTGCGACGTCCAAGGCAGCGCGCGCACACACACAGACAGACATAAGCATAAATACACACACACACACACGCACACATAGGAAAGGCAAGCAATCAACTCGCTCATTAAACGCATGAAAGCGCATTTTAGACTATGTATATATACATATATACATATGCACCATATGTAAGAGTATATACATATAGGTACATATGGATGTGGATGTGAGTAGGCGCTGCACAAGTGCATTAGGCCGTATAAAGTGATGTGCTCTGCATCATTAAGATCAAGATAAACAATTCACACAGACACAGACAGGCTTACACGATCCATCGATCGATCGATCGGCGGACTGGACTGGTCGGCAAGGCTGTTAGGCAGTTGACGCGGCATTAAATTGAGCATTAAGTCGCTTAATGATTTTAATGCGTGTCCGGCCGGCCGTCCTCTGTCCCATTGAATTGAAGCGAGCTAAACGCGCGTCGGTGTTGTTACTGCTTATTAGCCGACCTCTTTCTGTTGTTGTTGTTGCTATTGTTGCTGCTGCACCGACTCAACTTCACTTTACTCGGCTCTTTGTACGTGTATGCGCATGATTGACAGCTTTGTTTACGGCTTGTTTCGATTTTTGATATGAATTCGATATCTTGCGCGCCGGAAGATGCCGAAGCCGATGCCAACTTGTGCATTTCCTTTTCGTTTCGCTTTGTGCATCGCATCGACCCGTCTCTGCCTACCTGTTGGCAATGACTGGACAAAAAGTTTAAAAGAAGAAACCCTGCTTTTGGCTAATAACATTTCAATTAGGCCGCTATCCGCCCGTCTAGCGATCAAGTTTTTCGAGTGCCGGTCGGCGAGATTCATTTGAAACTGTCAAATCATCTAAAGTGACGCGATTAGCGTCACTTTGTCGCTCGGTTTGTTGATGTTATTGCTCTCAAGATTGTTTCCCGGCGAAATTGCGGCAAATTAGAGCACAAACAAGGGTTGTTCGAACACTCATTGCTGCCTTAGATAATGTACATACATACATACGAGTATATAGTCACAATGTAATCTTCGGCATCTGCGACGCATTAGTCCATTTATATAAAAGGTTTCATGTTCAATTAAGGCCCTTCAATTGGCCAACACGCCCCGAAAACTTGAAGTTGTCAGTAGCTGGCTTAATTTGAACCTTTTAACATTTCAGCTCACGCTTACATTTGTCTTCATAGTTAAATTGTTAACAACAAATTTCCAGCTGCCAACTTTAATTGCCACAGCTAATGGCCTGAACGCTGAAAATAAAGACGAAATCATGCCTTAATTGAAGTGTCGATCAGACAAATTGGCTTGGCGTCGGCGTTTTGGACTCAGCAAGTGACTGTGACTGAATGATTGAAAAAAATATCCCCCTAGATATTGAAATTGTTGCATTAAACTCAAACGGAGCTGTTTGCAATGCAATTAATGCATGTTCAGTATAAGGAAACAAACTGATTTGCCAAACTTGGCTTATTAACCTCCTGAGTGCCTATATTTGTATAGATAGGGAAAAACTAAAGAGTAGCTTAATTACAACTTTATAATTTACTATTTCCGACAAATATCGAAACACTTCTAAATTGAGGGAAGCAGGTCTGACATCATATGGACTTTACAGCACAAGCAGTCCTAATTTAAAAAAGTATTTCTACAAGGTTCCTATCTATATAAGTAAATATGAAGTTCAATCATTGCTGTTGGCATTCCTATTAGCCCAGTTTGCACCGCACAACAACTATTTGGAGCGAAACTTTCTTTTGTTAGCCACTCACAGTCAATTAGCGGACACACGCACTGGGTGTGGGCTATTGGGCTACTGTCTAAATTGGCAACGCACCTCATGTGGTGTTTACAATATTTAAATAGTTTTTCGCCTTTGTTTGTGCCTTTTATTGCTAAGCTACCTCATTTACACTGAACGCACAAATTCGAACACAGTTTTCTCACTATTCCAACACCTTTATTAATTTTATTAAGGCCCCTGCCGCTCAGAAAATCGCACGCTGTGCGTGTAAATTTCGAATGATTAGTGAAAACTTGTAAAGGTTAATTTAACCTAAAAGCATTGAATTTTGTTTTTCTTTTCTCTTAAAGCTTTTTCGGCGCTTTGGCTTCCTGAGCGTCTCTAAAGTTAATTAGACAATTTTTTCGCTTCTTTCGTTTGACCCAATTATACGAAGAAAATTAGTCTGAGAAACTTGGGCGCACACTTGAAACAAAAATGCTCAGTGAAATAATCAATATCAAAACTCAAATGAAAAGGCATTAGCATTAGCATTGGCTACTGGCAATTAAAATAATTACACAAGACATAATTATGTTCGGGCTTAAAATCGAACCCACAGTTACATCAGAAACCAATTACACAAAACCTATAATTGCATATGAATTTATATGTGTTTGTGGCATCGGGCAGAGTAATTGCATTTTTCGTTACTGGCTTTTTTTTTATTATTCACTCTGCTTTATATGTATAGAAGCCAATTTAACACAAAATTGAATTTACTTCACACCCACCTACACCTCGCAAATGCGCAGAGGGCCGCAGAAAACTGTAAAAAGTCAATGCAAATAGACGGCTACTGCACCGCTCCCCCACTTCCACTCCCACTCCCAATCCCAGTCACCCACTTGGCACCCGTTCAGCGACAAACTAATGACTTCCTTGCATGTCACGTGATACACACAGATATCCATACACGTTGACTATTATGGCCTGTTTCTATGGCCGAGCTTTCTAGTTTACACCAACGAGCCTTCACTGGGTATTTGACGTTTTTGTAGGAAATACGAATAATACGAAGTATGAAGGAGCATTTTTTTATTGCCGCACATTGTAAATATGAGGCGACTAATTGAAAGCCGTTTATTAATGTGCATTATGTGCGCTGGTGTGGGTGCACACGTCGTTGTATTTGTGTGCTTGTGTGTTTGAGAGCGCATGTGTGAGTAGGAGGGGAGTTCAAATTAAATAACACGTTATTGTTGCGTGGGCGCCACTTGGCAAGCTTCTACCGATAAACAAATGGGCGAGCACACACACAAACACACACACACACACACACACACACACACACACCCACAGAGCCTCATGAATTGGCTACCTGTCTGCGATTCTCAAAACGCAAGTACGTGCCTGTTCGTAGGTGGGTGTGTGTGTGTGTGGAAACGGCTAATTAAAATGTAATTATAGGCATTGCTGTGCACCCACAGTCATGTGGCGGCAAACAAGCTAATTGATATCAAATTTCTTCGCTCGATTGATTTTGACATGTGAGCTTGCGTTTGTCTAGTTACTTGCTGTCTGGCCCCAAATATCAATTTAAATATAGAACAAATATATTAACACAATGAATTGTAAATGTAAGTATATGATTGATATTTCTGCAAATGATTTGAAATTGCATTACATATTAATCTATTGAAAATAGCAGTGAACAAAATCTAGGCCTGGAAATGGATGTAAAAATATCGCTATGTAGTCATCGCCACATAAAAGATATAGTGATGGTCATCTGCTTCGTGTATTATAGTTTCGACGTTTCAGTTTTTGAAATAAATGCTTATTAAATACCTATAAGTTCGCTGTTTCTGAAGGGTTAGTAAAACAAACGGAAAAAGTATGTAACAGGCAGGAGGTACATAGAATATGAACAGCATGCCGACGAATCTGTATATTCCGTTCGTCTGTTCGTTCGTAACAACACTAAATATAATATATATATATATATACGCTAAATATGCCGCTTTTATTATTTAAGTGCATATTAAAATTACAAACCATATATAGCCTTTTTATTTTTTATAACTGTCATATAATTGTTTTATTATAAAACCACTCTTAGTAGGATAATTATTTCGTTTATAGAGATGTCTTAAGAAAATTTGCTATTAATTTTTTGTAAATATCACCTAAGTTTCTGTCATAAGATTCGTTCAAAAAGTGCAGGATAGAATTTAGTGTTAATAAAAAACTGTTCTAAATTACAAATTTAAAAATTGATAATATTACATTTCAATAGAATGTGTACTGGGAATATAAAAATTGGACGATTTAGAAATACGATGTATAATGCCGACTTTTGAAGTTTAATCTTAAAGAGTATTATTACTGTTATTTCGTAGCTATATTTGAATATGATTTCCTTTTTATGGTTTTTTATTTTGAATCTGTTCTTATTTAAACATATCCAAATATGTATTGATATCCTTTAAATTTAAATACTTTATAAAAAAAATTGTTAAGCATTTTCATTCTAAGCTGATTATGCCGTGCGTCTATCTTTTGCAGCCGATGGCGATGGAGATGCCCTGGAAAATGAAGATGCCACCGATTTGCGTTGCAGCATGTCCTTAACGCACTTGCGTAACATGGACAACCACATGGCAAACATGTTGCAGCAACATGCGGCGGCGCATAAAAATGGTGGCCCCTATGCGCTCACCCACTCACCCACGGCGCAGGGTCACGTAGGACTACATATGGCAGTCACGACGTCGCCCTCAACAGCGACCTCTCATGCGCCCTTTGCCTATCACAATGCCATGCTAAGCTTTGGGCAGCAGAATACTGGAGCAGTTCAGTATGCGCATCAGCAAGAGAGCAGCGGGAACGCCAGCGCTAGTGATTATCTCAGTTCCATGCACCAAATGGTCGAGGCCAGTCAATTGCAGCAGCAACAGCCGCCACAGCCCCCGCCGCCTAACTCGTCAATGGCCGGCCAAGCCTATAGCAGTCATCAGCAACATTTAGCCGCATTGGCTGCCCATGCGCAGGAACAGCACAACAAATACGCCAAGTCATCACCGCCAGCAACAGCTTCGGGCTACTTTGTGGCAGATGTGCCACCAACAGCAGCACAAGCCCAGGCTCAGTCCCAAGTTCAAGCTCAGCCTCATGCTCAGTTGCAAGCTGCTGGACAGGCACGCGACTATGACGATCGTTCAATGTCATCGGCCAGCGGTGCTGCAGAGCTGGAGGAGCTGGACGACGACGAAGATGATGATGCAAAACTGCAGGATGGCAGCAACAGTGGCGCTGGCAGCATCGATGTAACCACGCCGCCCACGCCTCGTCGCCCCGGCAGCGGCCTCGTTGGCAACAAACGCAAGTCCACAAGCGCCTACTGTGATGATAATGAAACGAAATTGTCCAACGGAAGTGCGTTGGGCAATTACTCGATGAAGAGCTTCGAGGGCATTCGCGCCCGCACATTGGAGGAGGTGCAACAGCAACAGCAACAACAACAACAGCAGCAGCAGCAGCATCACCAGTCGATAAATGGCGCCAATGAGGCGCACCTGCAACAGCAGCAACACCACCAACAAGCGCAGCAACACTTTCAGCATGATTATCGCGTCACTGGCGCCACTGGAGTTGCGGACCACTCTGAGCGCCTAAACGCTGACGCCGACAGCCTGGTCAACGGCAGCTGTGCATCCAGCGAGGACCTCAATCAGACCAATTCCAGCGAGCAGGGCGAAAAAATCACTTCCGGCAGCGATGACGAGGGTAAGTATTGAGCAACTCCAGCCGCACAACAGCCACCCAAGCACACCCACCCATTTAGGCCAAGACGACAACTGCGCGAAGAAGAAGCATCGTCGCAATCGCACCACCTTCACCACCTATCAGCTGCACGAGCTGGAGCGCGCTTTCGAGAAGTCCCACTACCCCGATGTCTATTCTCGCGAGGAGCTGGCCATGAAAGTTAATTTGCCAGAAGTGCGCGTCCAGGTGAGTTCCAATTCAGTTCAATGTTGTATCAAGTACAGTATAGGGCCGATCCACAGGAGTATTCTCTTCAGAAAATCAGAGAAATCAAAGAAAAATTATAAAAGTTGGTCCACTATATCATATAGAAACCGTCAGCACAACTACTTGTATTAAAAAATGATCTATAGTTTACAAAGAACTATATTTTAATGGAATTATTTATTGAATGGTCAATGAAATAATTAAGCTTGTATAAAATAATTCCATAATATGTGAGTTATCTGTAATCTACTCTTATTCTTTGTGCATTTTGATTATACAATTGATTAGAATATTATGCATTGCAATGATTCAAGCCTTCCCTTTAGGGTTAGCAATATAAGTACTATACATAGAGCTTGTACTGCATATGTATTTAAAGTTATTTATGCATAAACCACTGAATAATTGTGTGCAGTCAACATGTTAGCCGCAAACGGCAGGCAGGAGGCAGCAGCCAGCAAAGACCGGATATTAAACAATTTCCGTTGCCAATTTATTTTAACGTAATTAAGTTGCGCCCGCTTAGGTGCTAAAATGTTTAGTCTCGAGCTTCATACCGACAACGACTTATGCTGCAGTTTTTCCAAAGAGACTTGAGTTTGAGGCAAAACGTTGGTTCGTTGGTTTTGTTGTTCTTATTGTATGCATATTACAATTTATGTCTCAATTGCACAATGACAAGCAATGCATAGGCGTAGGGGTAAAACTTTACAAGTCTTCGCTGCTGCATACATACATATGTATGTCTGTCTGTCTGTACATGCATGTCTGACTGCCATTCGTTTCGGGTGGCGAAACGCGACGGCAGGCTCGTAAATTCCTTTCAGAACCGTGTAGCATAAAAGACACGCGGCTCGGAAAAGCAGGAGAACGGGCTTCACAGTTCATTCTTCATTGAAGCGCGACAAGTTGATGCCCCCTACCAAGCTAATTGGTTGCATTTAGCAGCAAGTGGACAGCAACTAGGACCAAGTAATGGCAGTGGCAATAACTTTGGCCAACTCTTCAGCACATAAACCGCAATTTTCGTCTGCAAGTGGGCGTCTATCTTCGAACGTCTTAAGTATAGATACACTGATCAAATTGCTTAGGATTGTTAACTGTTGTATGCAATTTTTCACTAAGGTATTTAACTTTGGATGGAAAATTAAATGGAAATTAATGTTTCCAATATCATATTAATCTTACCAGAGCGTTCTAATTTTAGAATTTCATTTAAAATTGTCATATCTTAGAGTTTCTATTGAAATTTAAGCCTATTTATTACAATTAATTTGTCATTTCCATTACAAGTAGTCCCACACCATAATAAGAAGTTATATCAGATTCGTTTCGGCAATAAAATTGTATTTTCTTTAACTGCTTTAACGGGGTGTGCATTTAAGAATCAGGCTGGCATGGCACAAATATTCTATTTGTTCTACTTTTTATTAAAATTTCTTGTTCCCTTTAAAGTTTTAAAATTAAAGAAACGTTAAGGAACCCTTCCTCCTACATTTTTTGCTTTTCTGAGTGTATTATACTCGTTATGCTCTATCTACATACCTACTTAGAGGAAATGCAGAGTATATCAAGTTTCATGATTTCGTTTCCTCTGCCGACAAATCATTTTTATTGACTAAACATTATCGTGCCACAGTCACGACGACAACGACGACACTGTCACCTGCAGACCCCCGCCCAACAGTCGAAAGACTCAGGTTGACAAAAAAAAAAAAGACTTGGCAACAAAATATATGCACATAAATAAATAAACAAATACGAACGTCGCCGCCGCCAAGCGTCGTCTGATCCACAAATATACATAAATGAAATACAAAAGTAATGAGCCGAAATCGCATAAAAATTTCTTGCACCGCCGGCGCTACGATTTATCAGTATTTCTAGATGGCGCTTTATGGCGTACAGCCCTCATGTGTCACTTTGTCAAATTGACACGAATTCAAATTATGCCTGTGAGGAGGGGGGCACCCAAAATTGTTGCCCCGAAACAAACAAAAATCCAAATATATATACAAGTATGTATACATATATAAGCGGTCTCAAAAAGTGCTTGCGGCCCGGCCAACTTTCGAGCCCGTCTCGTTGCCATACATTTGCATTTAACTCGTTTTTCGATTTCGTGGCCAACATTTTTTATATAGTAGTTTTCTACGCTTGTATGCGTGTGTGTGTGTGTGTGTGTGTGTGTGCTTGTGTGTGATTGTATTTGTGGTTAGTTTTGCACGAACTTCTCGTTAGGCTCGTTGCCTTTGCGCTTGGGAAATTGCTTGGTGTGCAACTCGTTGAAGGTGGAAATTTGTTTTGATTAAGTTTCCACACACAACAACATACACACACACACACACACACACACACATACATACAGCAAGAGTTGTTTCTTTTCAACTATTAACTCCTCGCCCATCCACCCATTCATATGAGTTGGAAATTGTGCAATATCGTATTTGCTTTGCCCACCACAATTTCTCGTTTAGATCAGTCCATTTGCTTTTTTGGGGCGCACAACAAACGTGCTTGTAATAGATTTGTTAAATGTTAGTTTAAAAAGTTTGATTGGATTTTGCATTTTGTACATTGTATGCATTGTGTGCTCTCTTTCATTGTGTGTATGCATTTTTGTGGTTTGTTTGATTGTTGTTTAAATGGCTATATTGGCTGCACTCGCTCAGATTTTCATATTGTAATGGGCACTGTAAGCGACATTCATGTGTGTGTATGTATGTGGGTGTGTCAGTTTGGCTTCCGCCCCCTTGCTTAGCTGTCAATTGGCTCAAAGCAAAGGCAAAAAATGTTAAATTGCAATCGAGGCATTTGTGGTTATCGCCGTTGGTTAGCTCGGAAAATGAAAGAATGTTCATTCAAATTTCGCTCATTTGCCCATTCGATACAGGTTAATATTTCATATTAGTAGTACAATTTTACTATTAAATACAGATTTCATTTATAAATTTACATTCATAAAGGGTTATCACAAATAAATTAAGAAAACCAATTATATAAATCCTTTTATCCACAAGAAATAGTAAAATGTATAAATCCTTTTATCCACAAGTAATAGTAAAACATATTTACTACAATAATTGAGAATTATTTTGATTACTTATACCTATTAATAGGAAATAAATAATGCAGATGGAAAATTACATTTTAATGTAGTTGCAACACAATGGAAAATATAGAGTGTGAAACGTTGTCTTGCAACTTGTAAACAGCCCTTATATGCTCGTATTTGCTGGGTTTCCAACATTTATCCCGTAGAGCAGCTGGCTTAGGTTTATCGCACGCTCTTATCATAACAAATGTAACCAAAACAAAATTGTTAAGCCAGCAAATTAAACTGCAGATTAACGGCAGAAGACAAGCCATTAATACTACCACGACAACAACAACAACAGCCACAATGGTAACAGCAACTACTTGTGGTGTGAAAATGAACAGGAAGTGTGTTCATCAATTTCAGGCAATCGCCACCTTTTTTTACGATGTGAGCTCAAACATATGGCAAAATGTCTTACAGATGACAATTATTTTATTTGGATTACACGCTGACGGCAGCGAAATTAGTGCCGAGGGTTGCTGAGCCATCGCCCCAGACGCTTGTCAGTTGGTTTTTGTTTTTGCAAGCACTTAAGGGTTAAATGTGAGCGTTCAAGTAGCTCTAATCATATGCCGTATTAAACACAATCAAGCCCCATAGTACGAGTAGAGTAGGGCATAAAAGAAAATGGAATTTTATTTTGCACACTCAAACAAAAGCAAAAACAACGACTACAACAACAACAACAACCGCAACTGAGCAGCATCCAAAGGGGTTAATTAAAATTTAATTTAGCGTAGAAAACCGAAGCGAATTACATTTACGTTTGCGGCACAAAATCACTTGTGAGACAAATTGATTGATGGCTGCTCCAAATATCGTGTATAGAACGAGCAATCGAACGCAAGTTAGGGTAATTCAGATTTAATGGCAAATCATTAAATTGTTAAGCCAATGGCCCCACACGGAGTATACAAAACTGGCAATAACTAACGTGCGTGTCTTTATTTTGCGAGCCAAGAATGTAAATTATCAACGCACTACTAGAAATAATAAACATAAATACGGAACAATTTCAAACTGCACGCAAAGCCAAAAATCCACATTGTTAGATTGTTTATTCTAACATACCTTTATCGAATTTCCAGGCATAACAATTCTTTATTAATGTTATTAGCAACAAAAGCAAACAAAATGAAGCAGAAACGAACAAATAAAAAAAACAACCGTGGGCCCATAGTCAATTATTTTGCATAGTTAAATTATTAAATATCGTAAAACTGTCAAAATGCATACCAAAAATAGCAAAACATTCGATAAACTAATACAAAACAGTTCAATTGATATATGCATGTACGTTGCGCATACGCCACGTGTGCCCTGCACCATAAACAAAACAACCCAAGCCAAAACCATACAACTGATACACGTATATAATAGACGTATGTATTCATATGTGTCAGCTCTCATCGAGTGTACGTGTTAGTATGTGTGAGTATGTGAGTGTGCATAAACAGCAAACAAATAAAAATGTCATTTCACTAACAAATAAAATAGATTTTTATTGCATTCCACTTGCCATGGCCATTGCGTCTTCCACTCTTTTGCTTTGCTCTGTTCGCTTCGAACATTGCCGTTTTTATTTATATTTACCGTTTTTTTATTTACGTTGAATATGTACTTCAGCTACTACTATTTCTCTTTATGGCATTTGCCTAGACAGACTTCATAGAGCTTGTGTATATGCATGTGAATTTCTTAAACGCTCCATTTGCCTCAAAAGTATTTCCCTATGATGGGCGTCGTTTGTCTATTTGCGCTTTCGCTTTCATAAGTAATCACCATAATGCATATTAGCTTGATTTGTTCCATCTTCATGCCACAAATTTACTAATAAATACTCGTATACGAAAAGTAAAAATGAAACAATGCAAATGAA